TTCAACGAATAATAGTCATAAATACTGGTAGTAGAGGCGGACGTAAAGTAGGAGGGAAATTAAAAACACTCACTAATCTTAAAAAAAAAGAGCTCCGTGAGTACCAACAATTTATTTGTTTCAAGTTTAAGACACTTGAAGCGGGAATTGAGAAAAAACGAACGAATTATTCAACAAAAACAAGCATGGGTATTTATTTAGAATAATGGTTTTTCCATTCGCTTGCTATTACTAAATTAATTATGTGAATTCGATAAGTCGGTCCACCGAGCCAGCCATCTCAGACCGACTTATCGAGTCTGCCTATGTATATTAATGAGATTGACTCCCGCTTTCGCCTTTACCATGGATGGCTAATGTCATATATGCAGCAAATACTGCGCGCATATATTGTCAAAATACTAATCCTACCAATCGTCCATTCCGGGGTATGTATTTCAGATAACGTTATCGCTCGTTAAGAAAAGATTATGGTATAACAGATGTTTTGCTTTTTTTGCAGCAACAACTAAACTACCCCGTATAAAGAGTCATAACTACTACACATACGACTTTTCTATAGATTATCGTTAAAAGGTTATTTTTCTGACTAATGGTAGTATACTGTACAAAATTAAAAATTATATACCGTAACTTATGCTTTTCGTTATAACATTGATAAACATTATTGCAATCCTAAATTACAGTCAGTCAACGACAAAGCAGGTTTTTGCACCAACAAAGGGGCAATTTTCCACATAAATTCTGTTCTAGTTAGTTATTATAAATTTGTTTTTCTTCTCATTACCGGACCCGAAACTTTAAATACGAGCCCTCACATTACTGGGTCTCATAAGTTACAGTATGTCATTGTCCATAGATGTAATGTTAACGGCGATTGGTTGTTGTCAAACGTCATATAAAGTGGTTAGCTTAATCGAAGTGTTACTGCAATAGTTAATGCCAACGTTGCCTGATTTATTTTGGCTTCTCCATACCATTTTCCAGTTACAACAGCCAAAGCACCCATGTCCGTCACTTTATCCAAACTAGGCATGTATATATTGTTAAAATATAATTAGTATCGCAGCTTCGTCTCATGTTTGAAACAAAATATTTTCTTATTCACTTTTACGCTCGATTAATTATCTTTCGAATCTTACAATGTTGCCAAACTCACTTTCCTAAAGGTGATAGGTATATACACGTTCTTGATACCGCTTATACGAGAGTACGGTAAATA